ATAGATAAATACTAGAACTAATTGCTTTTAGCAATGGGAAATTACAACTCTAAAAATAAAACATTTAAGAGAAATCTGGGGGGAGAGAAGATTAAATACTTGGGAATAAAACTAACAAAAGACTTTTAAGACCAAAAACTAACAAAAAATCTGTAAGACCTTTAAGACACAAAAGATCGTTATAAGGAAAACTTCAAAACATTACTACAAGAAACAATGGGAAAATATTCCCTATTCATGGATAGGAATGCTGAACATAGAGAAACATACAATCTTAGTAAAAACATCTACAGGTTCAGTGAAATCTCAATAAAGATATAAAATTCATTCTTCAAGGATTTACAAAAAACAATTTTTAGTTTTGTTTGAAAAGGCTAGAAATCCAGAAAAAGTAAAGCTTTTGTGAAAAACAAAAATGAAGTAAGAAGCATTTCGCATGCTGATCTCATAACTTAACACACAACCATAGTAAGCAAAACAATAAGGGCACATAAATCAATGGAATAGAATTGAGAACCTAGAAACCAACTTATCTACCTAAGGTCAACTGATGCTAGATAAACAAACAAACAAACAAAAACAAGCAAACCCCAAACCAACCATTAAATGGCGAAACAACATCCTCATTAACAAATGGTTCTGGCAAAACTGAACATCTACTTGCAGAAACTGAAACAAGACCCTCATCTCACACCATACACAAAACCCAACTTAAAGAGGATCAGAGATCTAGGGGTAAAACCCAAAACTATAAAGATCATAAAAAACAAAATGGAAACAAATTTAAAAGCCTTAGCCTACAGCATAAATAGGCTTGTAAACATGGAAAAAAATGCACAACCAAGGAAAGGATAAAAGTGATGAATGGTACCCTCTTAAAATGAAATTCCTGTGTGCATCAAAAACTTTCTCCAATAGGGCAAAAAGAAAGCCCATAGATTTGGAAAAAATATTTGGCAATGACTTTTGCCATAAAGTTTGCACAATACTACAGGGTCTTCACAAGAAACAGACTGATGACTCAATCACAAAAAGACTATCTCCAAGAGGACACAGAGATGGCCAAGGAACACATGAGGCAATATTCAAAATCACTAGCAAAAAATGCAAATCAAAACAATGAGATACCATCTACCCCCAGGAGCAGTAGCAAAGTTTAACAGGCAGAAAACTAACAGTGTTGGAGAGGGTATGGGTATACTGTGACTCTTATGCACTGCTGATGGGATTGTAAAATGGTACAACCTCTATGGAAGAGAGTTTGGCATTTCCTCAAAAAGCTGAACATAGAAATTCCATCTGACCCAGTTATTCCACTCCTAGGAGTATACAGCAAGGAAATCAGAACTGAGACACAAATGGATATATGTAAATGTATGTTCATATCAGCATTATTCACACAAGCAGAAGTAAAATGGAAACAATCCAAATGTCCATTAATGAATGAATGAAACTGTGGTACCTTCACGGAGTGGAATACTGTGTAGAACTAAGGAACAATGAGAGTCTAGAAAGCATTGTGCTTAGTGAAATAACAAGGACAAATACTGCATAAGTCATTGTGAAAATAGGAGAGTAAACTTAGCAAGATTTATATAAATGTGCAACATGGGGAGGGAAAAGGAGAAGGGTGATGGGAAAATGGGAAGGGGGAATAATCATTAGGGCAGCAGAAGATAATAAGCAGATGGGGGAGGTTAAGGTATAGGAAAGATTCAATGGGAGCTTGAAAAGATGGGGTGATAACAGGCATAGATCAATAGCAATTAATTATATAAAATACAATGTATATGAATGATTGTATAAAACACAATGTACATGAAGGAAACACAATGTATAAGAATGACTGCGAAATGGACCTGCAGCACAGACAGGGACAGTTGGAATTTGAGTGAGAGAAATCAGAAGCAACTATCAGCACATGCCAGGGAGCTGCCTGCTGATGCCACAAGCACACCAGGGAGCTGCTGATGCATGCACTGGGAAGCTACGCACAGGGGCAAGCAGGAAAGTTGGAATCTAAGTGAGTGTGAGCCTGAAACTCCAGTCCCATCATAGACAGCCCACACCCAGAACTCCAGTCTGGGTGCTGCTGGCCCACGCTCATAACACTGCTATCAACATGCACTGGGAGTGATGCTGGAACTTGTGTGACGTACTGTGTGTGTGTGTGTGTGTGTGTGTGTAGGGGTTACTGCTGTTTGGCTGGATCATGTAGAACCCATTAAGCTCAATCAGAAGGGAGTGAGAAAGCTGGAACTCATTATTGAAGGTAAAACCAAGGCCTCCTGGTTTTCCAATCAGGTCTCTGTGCTCTGCCTTATGTCTCCTCACACCCAGTCCATCAAATGCCTTTAACCCTGAGCACCCTGGGCTAACCTAGCCGCTGCAGTTGTCTGACAGAGGACGCTGCTTTCATAAGCCTTTTTTCTATCAAACTGAGACAAACCCTGACAGGGAAGCTGCCTCACCCACTTCTGGAGCAGTGACTTCAGATCAAGAACCTGCTATTGGCTCAGACATGAAAAAGTCTATTACAGAAAGGTCATGTAGGAAGCAGGCTACTACAACCCCTACATAAGCCCAAAGCAAGATGCCACCCCATAAAAGTGATACAGTATCAATGAATTTCATGAAGCCAGAAAGTCTGATGAAACTTTTTGACACCGAATTTAAAAGAACAATAACTGAATATTTTCAAAGGGTGAAAGATAACCTTGAAGAATTACAAGACAATGCAAGTAAAGCCCAGGAAGAGCTTTAAAAAAACAATACAAAATAATGCAGACAAAACAAATGAGGTACTAGAGGCTCTGGAAAAACAAGAAACCAGAATCCAAAATATGAGGACCAATGTTTCAGATGCTGTCAACATGAACAGGGTTGAAGAGATGGTACACAGAACCAGTGAAACAGAATTGTAACCACTGATCTGCTAGAACAAAAAGAAGAATCAGAAAGGAAAAGGGGAAAAGAAAACTTGATAATAATGTGGGACACTATCAGGATAAATAATATGTGCATCATCGGAATCCCAAAACAGGAAGAAAAAATAAAGGCACCAAAAAAGTTGTGGAAGAAATTACTAGATGAAAACTTCCCAGGCATAATAAAGAATGAGAGAATATATATTCAAGAAGCTGATAAAACACCATATAAAATAGACCACCAAAGAAAAACACCAAGGCATAGTATAGTCAAATCTGTCAGAACCAAAGATAAGGAGAGAATTCTAAAGCAGTGAGGGAGGAACAAAGAGTAACCTATAAAGGAAAGCAACTAAGATCAAGTGCCGATTTCTCAGCAGAAACCATACAAACAAGAAGACAATAGAATGATATATATCAAACACTCAAAGAACATAACTGTCAACCAAGAATACTGTACCCAGCAAAACTGTCCATCAAATATGGAGAGATCAAGATATGCCATGAAAAACAGAACCTAATGGAGTTCATAAAAACAAGACCAGCACTGCAGGAAACACTGAGGGATGTCCTTCTTACAGAGATGTCACAGAAAGCAGGATGGACCAAAGTAACTAACAATACCAAAAAGAACTCAACAAAATGATAGCAATGAAACTTTGCCTCTCAATAATCACACTGAATGTAAATGGTTTCAATGTATCACTGAAGAGAAAAAGAGTAGCAGATTTCATATAAAAACAAAATTCATCAATATGCTGTCTACAAGAGATGCATCTGAAAAATGAAGATAAAGGCAGGCTAAAAAGAAAAGGTGGGGGGGATATACCAAGCAAATGGCAACCAGAAAAAATAGATTTCAATGCAAAAACCATCATAAAGGACAAGGAAGGTCACTACACAATGATTAAGGGGTCAATAGAACAAGAAGATATAACAATAATAATTATCTATGCACCGAATGAAAGACCTGCAAAATACATAAAACAAATATTAACAAAACTGAAAAAAGAAATAGAAAACACTACTACAGTAGTCGGACACTTCAATACGCCACTCTCAAGAAAAGACAGAACTACCAGAAGGAAACTCAACAAAGATGTTCAAGAATTAGACCACATAATAAACCAACTAGACCTCATAGATATTTAGGGGTTAATACACCCAATAAAAGCACAGTAAGGGAGCTCTGGTGGCCTAGTGGCAGGATGCTGCACTGCAATCCCAGAGACATGCTGTTTGAATCCACCAGATGTTCTGCTGGAGAAGGAGAAGCAGCCTCTTCTTCTACTAGTCAGATCCAATTTAATGGTGCATTCACAAAAAATAATAAAATAAAATTTATTTTTTTAAAAAGCACAGTATACCTTCTTCTCCAATGTGCATGGAACAGTCTCCAAAATGGATCATGTTTTAGGTCACAAGGCAAGCATCAATAAATTGAAAAACATAGAAATAACACAAAGCATCTTCTCAGACCACAATGC